TGTGAAGGCCCGTGCAAACTGTGAAGATGCGGTTGCGCATGCATTGTTCATGACGCCCTAGCATGAAGATTCGCTCGTGACAGACTCGTAAAGTGTTGCCTGTGTTTCGCTGGGCCATTGTAATGAGTTCCGCTGGGTTCTCCGCTGGTTTTGGGGGGCTCCAAAGCATCTGCAACAAACTCTGAACCCAAGAGCTCGCAGCCCGAATCCCTAAACCCTAAACCCCTAAACGCTCAACCCCATCCTTTCAACCCTATGTAGCCGGCCAACTCCTAAAATCCGAAACCCCAGCCAGATAAACTCCCCATAAGAGCCCCCCCCCCCCCTAAACCCCTTTTGGGGCTTAGGGTTTTGGGGTTCAAAGGTTTGAGGGTGAGATTTAGGGCCCGACGCCCTCAACACTTAAAACCCAACATATTTGGGGATTTATCCCAAAACCCAAAACCCAAAACCCTAAACCCTAAACTGGGGCTGCAGAGTGTCCCGCCTGGCCCGTGATGGAGTACCTTCGGTACTCCATCTGTACCTGTCGGTTAACAGGCTCAGGGCTGAGGGTTGAGGGTTTTAGGGTTTAGGGTTTTAGGGTTTTAGGGTTAAGGGTTAAGGGTTTAGGGTTTTCGGGTTTTGGGTTTAGGGTTTAGGGCTGAGGGTTGAGAGTGGGCAAAGGGATCCCAAACCCATAAAAGCACCATTGTTTTACAAGACCCAGGATTATCCTAGGAATGAAAAGGGTGCCCTTACTTGGTTTAAAGGTTCTGACAAGGGAACCTAGACCCTAACAGAAAGGAAGTAAGGGTCTACTCTGGGTCCTAGTAGCCCTAAACCCTAAACCCTAAACCTTAAACCCTAAACATACTTTGGGGACTTAGGGTTCAGAGTGGGTTTCGGGAGATTATCAACATGAGTAGGCCCCAGGGAGTTTAAGGGCATCCTACAGGGGTGGCGGTCCACCCGAAACCCTATTTTACAGCCCTCAACTTACAGGCCCTACACCCTAAACCCTAAACCCTATCAACCCCATAAACCCTATAAACCCTATAAACCCTAAACCTGGTTTCATAGTCCCCAGGCTGCCGGGACAGTTCGCTCATCAGCTGCCGCAGCCGGAAACCCATAAACCCTATAAACCCTATAAACCCTATAAACCCTATAAACCCTATAAACCCTATAAACCCTATAAACCCTATAAACCCTATAAACCCTATAAACCCTATAAACCCTATAAACCCTATGAACCCTACAAACCCTATAAACCCAAAAACATATCGTTTCCGGGGCAACTGCGCCTTGGGCAACTCATGCCCTCAAGAGCCGCAGGAAGGGGAGCTAGGGAGCGACCTCGCATCCTAGTAGTTTGGGGTTTAGGGTTTAGGGTTTAGGGTTTAGGATCTAGGGTTTAGGGTTTAAAGGGTTAAAGGGTTAAGGGTTAAGGGTTTAGGGTTTAGGGTTTAGGGTTTAGGGTTTAGGGTTTAGGGGCGATTCGGTAGTGCTGGGGGTCCAAAGGGACGGACTCCGGCCGACTTGCGTCTAGGCCCCGAAGGGCCAGCGCCAAAAGTACGCGGCGGACCACGGATCCCACGACAGGCTCCCTCCTGAAAGGGGACCAAACACACTTTGCGGTGTCCCTGCCATTCTTCGCCATCGAAGAAGGGCTGCTGCGCTCAGCCACTCCCGGCAGCTGTGCCAAGACGCGGGCCAGAAGAAGAAGCTCGCAACCAACGCCTTCTGCCTGCGTCAGCACACCTGTCCGGGCAGTCGAGCGGTCTAGGGCTTGGGGCTTAGGGTTTTGGGTTTCGGGTTTGGGGGCTTGGGTTTCGGTTTTTGGGGGTTTCAGGTTTGGGTTTGGGGTGTATATAGGGGTTTGGGGTTTTGGGGTTTAGGGCCCCACATTCATCAGCGAAAACTCCCTGGTGAATCCCTGAATGCGGGTCGGGCCACAAAGCCGGTTTAGGTAATCAGCGAACTGATTTTGGAGTACCAGTAAAAGCTGAAACTGCGGTACTAAGAACCCAAAGTCAGCATCGTGCCTTGCAATAGCACCGTATTTCCTTTGACCTTGAACCAAAAACCCCAATCCCCAAACGCCCACTGTAGAACCCAACCCCTGAAACCCTGCCCCCGAACCCTAAACACCCAAACCCCAAACCCCAAACCTCAAACCTCAAACCCTAAACCCTAAACCCTACCACTCCCGTAGAGGGCACGGAGGGATCCGCGGCGGCAGCGGCATGGATGGCCTGCAAGCGTGTTGAACCCCTGAGCACGCACTTGCAAAAGGGTTTAGGGTTTAGGGTTTAGGGTTTAGAGTTTAGGGGGTAAGAGTGTTTTTTTTTGTTGCGGGTGCTTTTTTGCTGTGGGTGCGGCGGCGTTTTTTTTTTTTTGCTGCGGGTGCGGGGGCGGTTTTTTTTTGTTTTGTTTTTTGCTGCGGGTGCGGGGACGTTTTTTTTTTTTTGCTGTTTTTTTGCTGCGGGTGCGGGGGCGACACGCACCAGGTCACTCACTCACCGGGGCGGCCCCCGAAAAAAGCACCCACAGCAAAAAAGCACCCACAACAAAAACAAAAACACAGGTTCCGGGTTTAGGGCCTCTGCAACCACATATGCAAGCCAAACCCCACATTGATCCCTTAACAACTTGAACCCCACAAAGTTAAACTTGATGAACACTGAGCCCAACAGATGCGAAACCCTGCACAGCCTAAAGCCTGGAAAACCTAGACCTACGCTGCACCCAAGGGACTAGAGCGCAAAAAAAAGAAGCAGAATAATAATAATAATAAATAATAATAATGCCTAAGCACTCTAAACCCTAAACCCTGAATCTTACGAGCCCTGGAAACTCCATAAACATTACTAAGGTCCAAGACGGGAACCTAGTAGGGCCGACAGAATGCCATGCATTCCGTAGAAGAACCCAAAGACCCCTGAATTAGGGTTTAGCGCTCAGGGTTTATGGGGTGTAGGGTTTAGGGCATCGAAACTTAACATGAAGGGTTTAGGAAGTCGAAATGGCGGTTCAAGGACATCATGCAGTTTCCGCATGATGCGGGCTGCCCCGCCCCTTGAACCCACTTCAATTGAAGCCTATTTACGTTTCACCCCCCAGACCACGATAAGCTTCGACAGTTTGTGGGGATAAGGGGTATTCCCTAACCACCCCCCCAGAGAATTTTCTATGAGTGAAGGGCTTGGGGGTATGCTCGAACCTTCTCCAAACTGTAGGGTTGGATGAGGGTTTAGGGTTTAGGGTTTAGGGTTTAGGGTTTCGTGCGATGAACAAGAAGGCACCTTCAAACGATTCACTGCGTGGGCCAGTGTCTTTCACTGCCCCCATCGTGTCTTCGTCCTGAAACGTGTGGTAGAACCGGGGGTTGTACCACTTGTGCAGCATCTGCTGATTGAGTTCTTGGAACGCGTGGTGCTTCGGCTTGAGCGGCCAGTGGAGCTTTGGATGCCATACTGCAAGCTTGAGGGTTGCCTGAAGCAGCCCCAAGCCAAGTAAGTTCACTGCAACCCTAAACCCTAAACCCTAAACCCTAAACCCTAAACCCTAAACCCTAAACCCCTAGCCCCAAACACCCTTAACACAAACCCCTCAACACCCACACAACCAAAACTCTTCCTGCATAAGCCCTCTCAGACTCATGAACCCTAAAATCAAATTGCCAGCCCCTAAACTCTAAACCCTAAACCCTAAACCCTAACCCCCCCCCCCAAAAAAAAAAAAAAAAAAAAAAACAATGCCCCAACCAGCCTGCGAGCTGACCTTGCGGTTCTTGTACCTCAGAGGCCTCTCGGAGGAGTCCTTGCTGGCAGGTTCGGGTTGTAGGGTTTTAGGGTTTAGGGTGAGCCTAAAGCGTAAAGTCTAAAGCCGACAGCCTAAAGCCTAACCCGAAACCCTGAACCCGAAACCCTAAACCCTAAACCCTACACCCCCGAGGCTTGAAGGAACCGGCTCAAAGGGCACTTTTTTTTTGGGGGGGGGGGGGGGGGGGGGGGGGGTTGTTGGTTCAGGGTTTTTGGAAGTTTGGGCGACGTTGAGGCTCTCAGGAGGGAGGACGAGAGCTTCAGGGCTAGGGGGTTCGGGGTTTGAGGAATGAGGGGTTTAGGGTTTAGGGTTTAGGGCTTAGGGCTTAGGGTTCAGGGCTCGGGGTTCTGGTTTCCCTAAACCCCAAACCCCCCTAAAACTGGCCCACATGCTTTGATCCCGGAATACTATCAGAGGCTTGTCCCTAAACCTTGAACCCTAGACCCTAAACCCTAAACCGTAAACCCTAAACCCTAAACCCTGAACGCCCTGGGCGGAATCAAGGACAGATGCTATCGGCAGCCGAGCCGCCGATTTCTAATGGGCCGCTTCCCTCTGTGAGTTGCGTAGGCCTTCATTGATTTGCGCCTCTTCCGTGACATGCGCCTTGCCGGCTCGATGCCCGAGGCACACGGACCCATGACGCCGCTGTCAGCATTGTTGGGCAGGTAGTCCAGACAAGCCATGGTCTTGGAACAGTCATGACGGGGGCAAGCACTGGGTAAGTACAGTGGTCCAAGCTTGCACACACCAGCTGGCTTCAGTCATGGTTCTCGGAACCCAGCGCCGGTACGACGCTGTTGTCGGGAAGTCCGGCAAGCTCGGAACTGGGGATTTTGGTACCTGACATAGCGCGATACAACCGATTTAAAGGCTGACATGGGTACGTAATTGTCTAAGTCCCTATACTAGGTCTATAGCCTGACATATAGGTCACCTACTTCCCACAATTTCCCACCACAGAACCAGTAAGTTTAGCAACGTGTCGTATCCCTAAACCCTAAACCCTAAACCCTAAACCCCAAACCCCAAACCCTGAGGCCTTTGCGCAGCATTTCGGCACAGCTGAACGCGCGCACCCGGTTCCTGCGCTGACCTGTGTTGCCCGCGCTGGGCGCATGACCGCACTGCGTGGCGCACTTGATGCGGACTTCCTGCCAACCCCAGCGCGGCTCTGTAGAGCTTTCGCCTCTATGGCGCGGCACAAAGCGCCCGGCATCTCGAAAATTGGGGCCGACGTCTTTCGCGCCGCGCCGCACCAGGCAGCTCTGGCCTATTTCCCCTTGGCGATCAAAACCCTGGCGCGCGGAGCACCACCGGCGCAGTGGTCCGGAGGAAAAGCAGTGCCTATCCCGAAGCCGGGTAAACCGGCGGAGACCTTTGCCGGATGGCGCTCCATCCTTCTGTTGGAGGCTGACGCAAAGGCCTTACAGAAAGTCATGCGTGGCATGCTGGTCGGAGCTCTTGAAGCCTCCAGAGCGCCTGGGCAACACGGCGGCCTGCCTGGCCACACCTTGACACTGCCAGCTGCTGCGGTGCGCGCCCACTTCTTGCACCTCCGCCACCACAACAAATCAGGGGGGGCAATCTTTGTGGACAGTGCCTCTGCATACTACGCTGTAGTACGCGACTTCCTTTGCATACCTGATGCTGAACGGGGCACAAAAGCGGAGCTACTAAAGCGCGCGGCGGCCCTCTATCAGGCAGCAGAAGACCAAGAGCGATATGTTCAAGCCATGCAGGCAGGCAACATACTTGAGGCGCTTCAGGCTCCAGAAGAGCTCTGCAGGTTCGTGACATGCCAGCTCAGGCAAACATGGTTCGTCACCAGAGAGGGAGGCAGCAATGTATACTGCACCGAGTCCGGGACTGCCCCTGGCTCGCCAATCGCCGACGCACTCTTTGGCTTGATCTATGCCAAAGTCCTCGCACGCATCCATGAGTCACTTGCCTGCAAGGGACTCAATGCGCAAATCTGCACTCCGTCCGGACCAGCGAGCGCGGGCGAACCAACCTGGGCAGATGACACTGCAGTGCTCTTTGTCTCGTCCTCCGCCAGCTCGGTTTGCACTGATTTAGCCGCTGCGACTGCGATTGTGCACAGCGGACTGACGAGCGTTGGATTGGTGCCCAACTTTGGACCGGGCAAGACCGAAGCCGTCCTGTATTGGAGTGGCAAAGACAGCCGCCAATCCAGACGAGCCGTCACGTGCGCTGATATACCGGGTGTTGAGTTCCATGCTGATGGGAATACAATGCGAATCAGGGTCGTGCCAGGCTATGTGCACCTTGGCAGTATGCTGCGAGGAGACCTGCATGAGGCCCCTGCCATACACCACAGAGAGATGCTCTTGCAAGCTGCATTCCAGCCCTTCAAAAAGAAGCTCTTATACAATAAGTACCTTTCGGTGCCCGAGAAAGTGCGTCTCTTGAGTGAAAGGGTTGTCCCAAGATACCTTTATGGATCTGGCCTTTGGAGGCTTGGCACCAAATACGAGCTGGAGGCGGCGGAAAAGCCACTCGCACAAGTCATTCGGGCGTCGCTTAGGCCCATCCTAGGGATGACCTGCGCGGGCATCGACCTACATCAGGCCTGCGCTGCCTTGGGCTTGAACACACCCAGCGAGCTCCTTCAAGGGGAAAGATGGAGAGCATGGAATGAGCTGGCCAGAGATGCCGATGTGTTCACCTGGACAGCTTTGGTCCAGGATGGAGTCTGGCTTGCTCTGGCCAAAGATGCAGGCGCACGCATCTTAGCAGACACTGGTATTCCTATACCGGAGATGGCGGACCTTGCGGCATGCCACCAATTTGCGGTCCGTTTCCAGGCCCGCAATAAAAACGCCATCCGCGCCTACCTCCGCAGGCAAGTCCAGAACCGTGCACCCGCTGGGGATGAGCTTAAACGGGCGATGGCACTTGACTTGCTACCCGTGCCCGTCCCACGACCTCCGGTCATCACATTGGACGCTGCACACCAGTGCGAATTGTGCCCGGCCACCTTTGACACATGGCGCCAACTCGCCACGCATAAGGCCAAGAAGCATGGATCCTGGTCACTTGCGCGCAAAGCGGCCTTTGGCACGAGGTGCGAATTATGCACCCTTGAATTTTGGGAAGCCGGACGTTTGCGAGAACACTTGAGGCGGAGCCCAGTGTGCTTAGCGACGTATTGGGCCTCAGATGTACAGGATGAAGTGTTGAAGGCTCACCCTAGAAGCCCCAACAATTTTGCCTGGAAACCCGCTTCGCGGGTCCAGGGGCCGCAACCGTGGTGGGCGACTTTACGCCCCGGTTGACAGGCATTTTTGCCATTTTCACACAGAGACCAAGCCCGCATAGCTTTTGGCTTCGGCTGCTAGGGCTTTGCAAGTGAATCCGCAACGCGCCGCATGGCACCAGTCCGTTCCGTTAAAAAACCCCAAACCCTAAACCCCAAGAGTTTAGGGAGCTGGGCCAGCGGCCGGCATGACCCAGGACCAGTCGGCGCCCACCTTCGCTGTTCCCAGAGAAAGGGGGTATAGGGCTTAGGGCTTAGGGCTTAGGGTTTAGGGTTTAGGGTTTAGGGTTTAGGGTTTAGGGTTTAGGGTTTAGGGTTGGGGTTTAGGGTTTAGGGCTTGAGGGATCATAGTGATAGCAGTAGCAGAAGTGGGAATACTTGTAAACGCAGTCGTAAGAATTGGATTCCGCAGACTTGGACGATGGGTTCTTGAGGATGTAGGGCTCCAGAAAGCAGCACAAGCCCTACATGATAAGGCGTGTGTATTCATGTGCCTACACAGATATGCTCTTGTGTAAGTTGTAAAGAATACGTATACGTTCACTTCCTTTGTTCGCGCCTGGTACATGACTCTCTATCACCACCGCTAAGTGGACTCAAGCCACAAACAGTATAAAGAAACCCAAGCCCCAGAGTGCAGAAAGCCCTTAACCCTAAACCATCTCTGGTACCTAATCAGGCCCCAAGTGTACATTGTCCAAGACAATCTCCAAAGTTTTTGTAGGGTTTAGGGTCCACCCTAAACCCTAAACCCTAGGCCCTAAACCCCAAACCCTAAACCCTAAACCCTAAACCCTAGACCCTAAACCCTCCTACCTCAGAGCACATGAATGGGGCCCCCGGGTCGCTACTCAGTACCTACCATGCAGCCCAAATACCCTATGGTCTTAACCCTAAACCCTAAACCCTAAACCCTAAACCCTAACTATGCGGGCACATGGACCCCTAGGGTGGGGTTGAGGGCTGAGGCACCTGGCGGACAGGGGGGAGGGGGGGGGGGGGGGGGGGGGGGGAGGAGGGAGGGCTCTGAAGCAGGCTTGTAGGACGAGGCAGGGGCTAGGTTTAGCGCTTCTCGGGTTTTGGTTCAGCTTGCTAAAAGGACATCTGTCATGAAAGGTATCGACATTAACATGGCCCCCTGGCCTCCAGCCAATGCTTCACATCCTCAGCATTGCCCTCCTTGGGGATGTAGAGCGGGGGGGGGAGGGGTACTTGGAGGTTCATGGTACTTATGAACCAATTACAACTGTACTTCTCACCATATTAGGGCACTTAAGGAGCTTATAAGTGGGTTATAAGTATAGATATAGATATAGATATAGATATAGATATAGATATAGATATATTTGGATAATTAGTACCATGAACCTACAGGTAAACCCTAAACCCTAAAACCCTGAACCTCCAAGTAGTGGGTTTATAAAGGTGTATGCGTGGTTCAGGTTTGGGGCGTTGGGGTTCGTTAAGATGGACTAAGAGTTGGATGTGTTCAGGGAGTTGAGTACCCTGCATGCTACTAGTAAACCCTTGTTTAGGGTTTCGGGTTTAGGGTTTAGGGTTTAGGGTTAAGGTTTAGGCCTAACCCAAACCCAGAAACAAGAACAATAACTGAAATGCGTCCACGCTGAACCTGGAGTCTTGACAATATCAAGCCTTGGTGACAAACTACATCTTTCACTCTGGGTTTTGGGTCGAGGTCACGGAACCCCAGACACATCAACCCTTAACCCAGCAACCCCCCCTCGCTCCCAGTAAGTAGGGAACGAGGGAACTCGGTACCTTGCATCCCTCTATCTATACCCTTTGAAGGATATAAGAGAGAGTACTTAAACCGACTTAAACCCTAAACCCTAAATTTCAAACCCTAAACCATAAACCCTTAACCCTTACTAAACCCTAATCTCAGACTCAGAAACCCAGCTCCTGCGCCGCCTGCCAGAGTTTCAAGTCGCTGCCGTAGCCTCGCCAAGAGCCACGCAAGCTGTGAAGGGGGGGGTTTAGGATTTAGGGTTTGATAGGGTTTAGGGTTTTCCCAAAATGCTTGAGAAGTTTACGCTACACTATAATCACTATAGATTCCTAAACCCTAAACCCTAAACCCTAAACCCCAAACTTCGGCCCGGCCTTCGCCGTACTCCCGCTCCGTCGCCTCCTGCGTGACGCGCAAGAGCGCCGTGCCACCAAAACCTGACCCGGGAGATGGAAGGCTCGTTTAGGGTTTAGGGTTTAGGGTTTAGGGTTTAGGGTTTAGGGTTTAGGGTTTAGGGTTTAGGGTTTAGGGTTTAGGGTTAGGGTTTAGGGCTTAGGGCTTAGGGTTGAGGGTGTAGGGAAAAGGTTTTGGGGTATAGGGGTTCTAGGGGTTAGGGGTATAGGGTTCAGGGTATAGGGTTGGGGGTTTGGGAGATTCGGGCTGTCGTTTCTGTTGCCCAAAACAGCACAAGAAATAATTGTAGATCTTAGGCCGCCGAAGTAGGGGCGGTGCTTCTACCCTAAACCCTAAACCCTAAACCCTAAACCCTAAACCCCCTAAACCCTAAACCCGAAACTCTAAACCCTAAAGCCTAAACCCGAAACCCTAAACCCTAAACCCCCTAAACCCTAAACCCGAAACCCTAAACCCTAAACCCTAAAGCCTAAACCCAATTGGAGTCCTAGGGTCCATGTTTGGATTGCAATGTCAGTGTTCGGCACCTGTGCCTGAGGCCATTAACAGAAAGTCCATGATGTTCTACAGGGAACCCTCAACCCTCAACCCTCGAAAAACTAGGCCCCATTGGGGAAGATGGGGTTGGCGGGGGGGGGCTACCAAGCTACAACACCCTAAATCCTAAACCCTAAGTCCTAAACCCTAAACCCTGAAACCCTTAAACCCTTAAACCCTAAACCCTAAACCCTAAACCCTTAAACCCTAAACCCCAAACCCTAAACCCTTAAACCCTTAAACCCTTAAACCCTTAAACCCTTAAACCCTAAACCCTAAACCCTAAACCCTAAACCCGGTAAGAGTTTTTTTTTTTTGTTGCGGGTGCTTTTTTGCTGTGGGTGCGGGAGCGCGTTTTTTTTTTTGCTGCGGGTGCGGGGGCGCGTTTTTTTTTGCTGCGGGTGCGGGGGGCGCGTTTTTTTTTTGCTGCGGGTGCGGGGGCGCGATTTGTTTTTTGTTGCGGGTGCCGTGGGGGCGCCTTTTTTTTGCTGCGGGTGCGGAGCGTTCTTGCTGTTTTCTCTATATTTTACTATGAAAACCTTTATTTTCTCTAATTTTCAATAGGAAAACCTCTTTCTCCTCTATATTTGAATAGGAAAACCTCTTTCTTCTCTATATTTGAATATGAAAACCTCTATTTTCTCTACATTTAGCATGAAAACCTCTAGTTTTTCTAATTTCTCTATACTTCAATTCGAAAACCTCTATTTCTCTCTATTTTTGTCTATATCGTCATAGTTTTCCTCTATATTTAATGAGGAAGACATGAGAGAGGAATACATGAGAAACTTATTCTCTGTGTTATCTCAATATGTGACTTGCAATTAAAAGTGTTTCTGTTCCTCTTGTCCTAATTTTTCTAGGAAGCCCATTATTTTCTCTGTCTCTGAATAGGCAAACCTCCATTGTCTTAACATTTGAACATGAAAACCTCTATTCTCTATATTTGAATATCAAGACCTCTACATTTTAATATGAAAACACTTTGTGTTTTCGCTATATTTTCGTATGAAAGCCTCTATTTCCTCTATGCTGTCATAGGAAGCATCTAATTTCTCTATATTGTATAGCGAAAACCTCGATTGTTCTATAGTTTCTCATTTTGTCAGTATTTTCAGACTTCTTCTCTTTTTTTCACGAGGAAGACATGAGAGAGGAATACATGAAAAGCTAATTCTCTATATTGTCATAAGAGTACATGCATTATCTCTATTTGTGACTCGTAGACAACAAGTGTTTTTGTTTATGTCTCGTCACACAAGCTCTATTTTCTCGATTCTTTACTAAGAAGACGTTTATATCTCTATTTTTAAACGGAAAATTCAACTTCCACCATAAGGTCTGAATTTTCGTAGGAAAGCAAGCATATATTCCCTCTTTCTTCAGGGGGTTGGGGGCTGCGCAGACCGCCGCATTTGAAAACACAATGCTCGCATCATGGGTTTGGAAGGGATTCGTAAGCTTTGAAGCAGGCTTGCCGGCTAAAAAAGCGGGGGGGTTGGGGGGGGCGCAGCCCCCCCCCGTTTGCAAACACAATGCTCGCATCATCATGGGTTTGGAAGGGATTCATATGATTGAAGCAAGTTTGCCCTGCTAAAAAGCGCAGCCCCACCCCCCCCTTTCAAGCGGGGGGGAATGCTCTCATGATGGGTTCGGAAAGGATTCATTTGCTTTGAAGCAAGCGGCATGGCTTTAAGAAGCGGGGGGTTGGGGGGGGCGCAGCCCCCCCCTATTTGCAAACCCAATGCTGGCATGATAGGCTTGGACAGGATTCATATGCTGAGAAGCGACCTGGCACGGTTTTAAAGAGGGGGGGGGGGTCGGGCGGGGTGCAGCCCTCCCTCCACCGTTTGCAAACACAATGCTCGCATGATGGCCTTGGGAAGGATTCAGTGCTTTGAAAACGCTTGCACAGTTTAAAGGAGGGGGGGCGTTGGGGACGGGGTTGGGGAGGAAATTGCAAAACAAATGACCTGGGGGGTGGGGAGGAAAGGGGGGGGCGTTTTTTTTTTGCTGCGGGTGCGGGGGTGCGTTCTTTTTTTGCTGCGGGGAGGGGGCGCGTTTTTTTTTTGCTGCGGGTGCGGGGGCGACACGCGCAGGTCACTCACTCACCTGGGGGGTGGGGAGGAGGGGGGGGGAGGGGGGGGGGGGTGCGTTTTTTTTTTTGCTGCGGGTGCGGGGCGCGTTTTTTTTTTTCTGCGGGTGCGGGGGCGACACGCGCCAGGTCACTCACTCACCTGGGGGGTGGGAGGAAGGGGGGGGGGGAGGGTGGGGGGCGCGTTTTTTTTTTGCTGCGGGTGCGGGGGCGCGTTTTTTTTTTTGCTGCGGGTGCGGGGGCGCGCTTTTTTTTGCTGCGGGTGC